CAGTCGGCAAGGTCGAGTCTGCTGGCACCAGGTCTTGGCAAGGGGGCGGCACGTGGACACTGCTCCACGCTGCTGGTGGAGGTGTGGGTCGTCACGGCAGCATGCCGACGCCTGTGTCGTAGATGCACGTCCACTGTGACCCACGTAGCGTACGCATGCACACACACGGGACACACGTGCACATGTGTGCTCCAGGGAAGCACGCAGGACGCTCACTGTAGAAAGTTACACATCTCAACCTCAGACATCTCTAGAATGTAACTTCTGGTAGAAAGCAAGTTTCTGAGAGGCGCGCAGACACAGTGGCGTTGGTAAAGCTGAGGGCTCTGAGCCCCGCCGTGCGTTGCCTTTGACCTTGCTCACCGCGCCTCAGGGCTGACGGGGCAGTGGCTTTGGGAGTGCCGTGTGCATGAACGCCTCTGAAGTCCCCGTGTATCCTGAGGTGGCCCTGGGACAGTAACCTTCCCGCGCCTGTGTGCACCTGCCCTAGCCCAGCCCCCGGCAACTTACCCCATTCTTGGCATTTATCATTTTATTCTTTTTTTGATATAATCTTAACATCACTTTTTTATTTTTTGGTTTTTTGGTTTTAGCTCCTTTCGATTATGTTCTTGTCTTGGCGCCGCACGCTGTGACACTGCGGGGCCGCTCCGTGTGCTCAGCGCGGCTTGTGGCACAGTGTGTGTCTTTTCCTTGCTGTGCACTGCCCTGTTGTAAGAAGGCTTCAGCTCGTACCCCCGCTTCATGGTGTCAGCATGTGGGTGGCTTTCAGTGTGGTACCGTGACCGGAAGAGCCGCCACGGCATCTCTGCACGTCTCCTGCAGGCTTGCGTGCGTGTGCGTGTGCGTGTGTGCGTGTGCGTGTACACGTTTACACAGGAGCGCCCCCTGGCTGTGAACTAGCTGTGAAACCGCGGGCTTGTGACTTCATGGCACGCACCCACCTCCCTGGGGTCCGCCCTCGGTGCCCCATGTCACTGTGCACCTGAGTGCGTTCGCGTTTCTCTTGAGAAGACACGTGTGAGAGGGACTCACACGCAGTGTGCCTGGCACACGCACAGACCAGGACACAGCGTTCGGCTCGGCCTCCCTGCCGTGCTCACCTGTGCCCTCAGAGAGATGTTGCGACTGCTCCTGAGGGTGCGCGGACCCGGGCTGCACCCCTCACAGGTGCCCCTCCTGCTCCCTGCGCACCCACGTGCTGCGAGGCCACACCGCCGTGTGGGGTCCCGCGTCCGCGAGGCAGTGTCTGCCCAAGCCGGGCGCAGTCGGGCAAAGCGAGGGAATTTGTCTCACCTCCAAGTTCGGGGGCTTTTCCAGCCACGGGTCATTCACGCCGACTGATGCTACCTTGGACTGCAGGCTTGAGGGTCAGTCACCAGCTGTCTCTCAGGAAGGTTTTCCTGTTCATAGATAGACTGATTTTATTTTTGTAAATAACAAGTTGAAAATGCTTAATACATGGAAACAACATAATGTGCCAACTCGGAGTAGCTAAGAGCCACCGAGTTCCGCGTGCCCGTGATACGGGCCGCCAGCCTTCCTGGCGGTGGGGCTTCCCACCGCACGCACGCTCCTGTGCCGCTCCACACGGCCGCTGGCATCGCGGGAGCCGCCACCCCCAGGCCCTCCGCGAGGACACGTGCTCCCCCTGCAGTGCTCTGCAGGCACACAGAGCTCAGCACGCGCTGTGGGGAGGGCGGCCCGGGGGAGGGCGCCCGTCCCTCCGTGGGCTCCTGCCTGAGCAGCACTGGGTGCTTTCCCTTCCGCCAGGCCTGGAGGGGGACGTGCGTTCCGGCCCCGGGGCCGAGGGACTCGGTGGTCCGCGTGCTGGGTGTGCCCGCCTGCCTGGAGCGGCCGGATGGGGTGGCGGGGAGCGGTGTGTGCTTTGGCTGCTGGCCCAGTGGCGGAGACGATGAATCACTGGCCGTGTGATGTGTTTGCAGATGGGAAGTGACGGAGGCCTTCCTGACGAGGCGCTCTCCCTGCAGCCCTGCCTGCCGTCCCTGGGGCCACCGCCAGGCAGGGGCGCGTCACCGCGTACCCGCACAGCCACTCTCGGCCTCCGTGCCCGTGGTCGTGTCTGCTCGGCTGTGCTCGCAGGGCAGCCTGGCTGTGATCACAGCTTAAACACCAGACGCGGCCACTGTCACCTGAGCAGGCTGCGACGGAGGCCCAGGACTGGTTTGAATGGCTGTGCAGACACTTGGTTCCCGCCAGGCACCTGGTTCAGCCACCGCATCGCCTGCATGGGCACCGATTCCTGCGATGCCACAGCCTGTCCCAGACCGTCCCCTGCCACGTTCTACCTTCCCACGGAGCGTGAGCCTCCTGTGCGGCCGCCCGGCCCTGTTCCTGGTCCCTGCCAGCCCCACTCGGGCCCCGAGGGCCCCGCCCTGTGAGTGGCGCCGGCGCTTCCGTGGTCGCCACACCGCACGGCCGTCCCGCTGCGGGTCGGGGCGAGCACCTGCCCCGCGCCTGAGCTTCCGACCGACACACGGCCCTCCGTGGAGGCTCCAGGCGCCCGGGGCCATCAGGCGAACAAATATGTAAAGAGTATTTTAATTGTTCTTAGCAAGACAGGCAGGGAGTCAGTGTTCTCAGGCGCGTCAAACGCTCTGCTGACAGCTGCGGTCAGAAGGCCGACGTGATTCCTTTCAGACACCGTCATGCCCCGTGACAAATGGGGGCTGAGCTATGTTGACACAGTAGGTTAAACATTGAAAAAGTTAGTTGAACTTTGCCGTTGAATATTCTTTAGAGCTGATTATGGATTTCTTGGCCCTGTGGAGCACGGTTTCCGTGCCTGCGTCGGCCGTTCGTTTTCCATTTATTTACTGTGGACGTCGTAACATCGAGTCCGCTGTATCGCGTTCGGTGCAGGACTGGTTGAAACGTTTGCAGCGATGTTTACTGACCAGCAGTGGGCCGTTCGGCCTCCCATGTGCGGCCCAGGCCCTGGCCAGCCTTGGCTGCCCGATGGTGAAGGGACGCTGCGCACCAGCCGAGTGCGGGCGTGTGCCGCTGGGCCTCGGCCCCGCTTCCGGCCACGCGGGGGGGGGGAGCAGCCACCCACACCTTACTTCCCGCTCCGCCCGTCACGTGGCGCCCGGGCCCCGACGGTGTCGTGATGTGAGCCTGGGGCGCCGCCTGCCTCTCACGATCCTGCGCTGCGTGTTACCAGTTGCTAGTAGGTCTTTGAAGTTCTCGTCACAAGAGAACAGAGTTGTGACTGTGCGGGTGATGGGTGTTAACTACACTGATTGTGGCGATCGTTTCAAATATGCACAAATACCAAACTGTTATTTCGTACACCTCGAATGTGTACAACGTGGTAGATCAGCTGTATCTCAGAAATGCTGGGAAAAAAGAAATACTGTCCTAGTTCCATTCGGAAGAAAACAGACCCGAAGGGGTCCCAGGCTTGGTGGGGGCTGAGAGTGCGCGGCCCCTGTGTGCCCTGAGGGCCAGTTCCTGTCGCTCTGGCCTGGGCCTGCCTGCGAGAGGCCGGACGCTCTGGACCGTGGACGCCGCGCTCACCAGCGGGCTACCTTGCATCTCTCAGGAGGCTCCTTCTGTCCCCTAGAAGGCCCCATCACGTGTCGGCCGGCCTGAGCGGCGTGCATTTGGGTGGTGGTCAGGAGACGGGGCGGGGAGGCCTGGCAAGGTGGCCTATGGCTTTATTATGCACTCAGAAATGTGTTCACAGGTGTGGGTGCGTGTGCAGATACAAAGTGTGTGGTGCCTGGTTGGCGATGGAAGATGTGTTGCTGTACCTCTCCGGTGTGGACGGGAGAGGTCAAGCCCTGGCAGGACCCCCGTGTCCAGGGGCAGTGCACACACATAAACACATGTGTATAACCCTGTATGCACGTGGTTACATACGCCAACGTGCACATGTACACACATGTATACACATGCACACATATTTGTACACCCATGTACGTATAAATACACACATGCACACACATCTATACATACGCCCGCATACGCTAATTGTAGATATACACATGTCTACACTCATCTATGCACACACCCGCATGTGCACATTGTGTACAGACACGCACATGCACACTCATCTATGTGCACACCCCCATATGCACATGTATGCACACCTATACACATGCATGCATACTCACATATACACGTGGGCACATACATGAACACATGCGCATGTACATATACATACAGGCGTGTGTGTAGACACACCTACGCGTACTCAGTACGTGCATATACATAGACTTATATAGACATGTGCACACACATACTCACACATACACATATGCGTACACTTACATAGACACATTTACACACGTGCACATACGTGCATACGTGCATAGTTATACACTCACCACACATGCAAACAAACACATGTAAAAACCTGTCCAAGTCTGAATTTCAGATCAACAACAGGTGACTTTTAGCGTCAGATGTCCCATGCCACGCTTCCTTGGTGGCCATTGTGCCCCCAGCCCAGCCCCTGCATGTGTCTCCCTGAGTGGGGACAGTAGGACGCGCCTCCCCCCCATGCGTGGAGTAGCGCCAGGCCACGGGCGGCCACCCGGCTGCTGCTCGGTGAGTCCGTGGTGGACAGGCTGCTGGCCTGGGCGGTGGCACTGCCATTCTGTCCTGAGGGCGAAGAGGCGAAGAGGGAGGGGGGGCCAGGCAGAGAAAAGCCATTGTGGGGGCTCATGGCAGCCTGGGGGGGGGTGGGCAGTGCGCAGCTGTCATGAGCCGTGTCCAGCCCTAGCGACAGCTCGCTCGGCCACACCCAGCCCTCTGGGCCTCGCAGGCCTCCAGTGGGACGCGAGCCTGTTGGCAGCTCCGCCGGGCGTTGGCTCCTGGCCTTGAGCCCCCGAGTTGGGGGCCGGAGCTCGTGTGGCCAACAGCTCAGCTCCTGGCGATGGCTTCGGCTCCTGCGGCGCAGCCGCCACCCCGCTGATGAGCTCCCTGCTTCCCCGAACCCCGCTGCCTCTCACGCGAGCTCTGTTTCTCCGCAGGCGCTGGGAAGCTTTTACTTCCTTCACGAGTCCTTGAAGAACATCTACCAGTTTGACTTCAAAGGTGAGTGAGGCAACGTGTTGCCACTGGCCGGACTCCCCACCCCCTGCCGGGCGGTCCCTTCTGCCGGTGTCCCCGCGAGGGGCCTGGCGGGATCTGGGCTTGAGTCGCTTGCTGGCAGCCCCTAAGCGGGGGCCGCGCTGGAGCCCCGGCGTCCTGGCTTTTTCCCAAAGTCGCAGCAGCCGCCCCTCAGCATCTGGCCGCGCCCTCCGCTCCGCGTGCTCCGGCGCTCCTGTGACAGGGCTCAGAGGAGGAGGGACGGGGTTCGTATCTGTGCCCCGTCAGATGTGGACAAGGGAAGCAGCGTGAGACAACGGCGTACTCAGAAGGGAACGGTGAGCGCGAGCGTCCGTGGCAGTGGGCCCGGCCCGTGTCTGCCGGGCGACCCGCGGTGTCCGTGCCGAGAAGGCGCCCCTCGGTGTTCCCGCTGCACGGCCCTCATCCCGTCTTCCCCCGGTGCCGTCCTGCCACGTGACTTAGACCCACCGGGGCTCCGCCGAGGCCATCGAGCCCGGTGGCTCCGCATCGCGGCGGCATGAACGCCGCGGTGTCCAAGGAGAGTGGCGGATGACGTCGCTGTGCCCAGGTTCGTGTCCGTGCTCCTCGGGGCCGAGCAGCCATCCGAATCCAGAAGCAGGGTCTTCTCCAGATTGCCCAGGTGGCGACTTCGTCACGGTGAGCACAGGGCGGCAGCCAGCAGGACGACCTTTCACCGGGGGTTTGTGAGGGTTCTTCACGTGCTTTTAAACACAAGCACCCGAGGAACTTGGCCGGAGATGGGGGCCGGAGGCCAGTCTTCCCGTGACTTAGTAGACACCGACCGCAGCGTGCCACGTTCTCCAGATGGGGCTGCGAGCGAGAGCGAGCGGAGGGCACATGCGCACGCAGCGCGTGGCCGGCGGAGTCCGATGCTCGTGAACCTGCCCCACACGCTCCAACACGGAGCGCTCTGATGACCTGGTCTCGTCTTTGAGGGGCCCTCTGCACACGTGCATCATCACCGGATCAGGCCAGGCGTAAGGCCCGTGGCTGGCCCGCAGCTTCCTAGAGCCATCAGAGGTCGTGGGACTCCGGCAGCCTTACCCACAGGCCTCCATGCGGCCGGCAACGAGCAGAAACAGTGACGGGCGCTATTGTGCGTGCAGGGGTGTGCGCCCATTCTGCAGACGCTCGCGGTGGCTGGGCGTGGCGGGGTCGCTGCCACCGAGTGCAGTGCGGGGTGCGCCAGCATCTCAGGCAGGGGTGGCCGCCGGCCCCGGCTCTGCAGCCCCCGTCCTCAAGGCCCGCTCCCCTGCCTCGCGTTGGGTTCCAGCCGAAGCAATCTGACTTTGTGAAAAGGTCGAATAAACTTCTAAAAAGAAGTGGCCTGAATTTTAACAAATTAGTACCTAGCCAGAAATTTCAGGGCTCCTGAAAGGGTCAGATGAGAAGGGGGGAGTGTGACCCAGCACGTGAAGAGCTTGGAGGTCACCGCTCCCACCCTCACCACCAGCAAAAGGCCGGACACCCTGGAACCGTGAAACGACAGAGCTCGTAAACTGTGAAGCGAGGGCGCGGGGTGAGCCGCTGCCCTGCGGCTGCAGAGGGGGCTGCAGAGGGGGCTGCAGAGGGGGCGGGCCCTGAGCCCTCGAGTTGCTGGCCGGAGCACCTGGGGCGGACCGCAGGCCGGGGCCAAGCATGGGCTGGCCTCAGGAACGCCCGGGAGCCCAGCCCGGGCCTGCACCACTGTGAGTCACACCAGCAGCCCCACCACGTCTCGTGACGAAGGCCGGGGAAAAGGCCCTGGCGTTTCCGGTGGGGAAGGGAAGTAGCGCTTCCGAAGCGAATCGCTCTGTCGCTCCTACAGACCGGCTCACCAGAGCCCAGCCCGCGGGGGCCTCGCCAGGGCCTGGCCAGCGCCGCGTCCCCTGCGCGCCCTGCCCGGGGGGACGCGTGCTGACGGAAGGCTGAGCCCTGACAGGCGGACCGCGGAGCGCCTCCCTCCACGCCAGCACGAGGGGCCTCGTGACGGGAAGTCCCGAGAAGCTCGGGCTCTGTTTAAGGAGCATCCCAGGGACCCGTGACAGCAGAGGACACAGGAACAAGGACACCGGGCGATATTTTAGCCTCATACACTGCAGAGAACACAGCCCAGCAGACAGGGAGCCCGGCCCAGCTCCTCACCAGGTAAAGGTAAAGCGTCACGCGAAGGCCCGTCTGCCTCAGTTCCTCCCACCCAGTCTTTCAAGTGCCGCTTTCAACAGAAAACGACAAGGCATAGAAAACAGTAAAAACGACATGCTGAGGAGAAAAAGTATGCGTCAAAACCAGAGTTAGATATGGCATAGATTTGAAATTGTCAGACTGGGAATTAAAATAACTACGATGAATACGATGAGGGCTGTAGTAGAAAGAGCGGACGGCACGCGAGGACGTACTGGTACCCGGAGGGGAAAGATGGGAGCTCCGAGAAAGAATCACAAGGAAAAGCTAGAAATCAGAACACCGTGACCAG